CGATGCTAAACAGAACCCTGGGAAAAAACAGGGCTCTTGAATTTCACAACTCAGACCAGAGAAGGCAAGGACAATAGTGGGGGAGGTTCAGCACCTACAGATGGAGTTTCAGCCTTGACTTTGAGAAGATCAAGGCCACCAGCCCGGAGGAAGTGACCCTACCCTGAGCAGTCCCCAAAATGGAGGCACAGTGCAGAGAAAACTGTGGTGAGCATCTCACCCAAACCCCCACCCCTAAACTCCGGGGAGTACTGGTGCCCTGGAGGCGCAGTGCTCTGCCCAAGTCTCCTGGGCACACACAACAGGCACATCCTTGACTGGCCAGCCTAGCTCAAAATGCAGTTCTGATATTACAGGTGATTCAGAAAGACTGGAGAGGAAGGATGCCAGAGAGCAAAGACTGGGAAGGGAAAAGCTAGCCAGACCAGCAAGAAGGCCAGAGAGGAGGGGTCTGAGGGCAGGAGCCACGACTCCTGTGTCTGGCTGCCTCCTATAGAAGCTGGAACTGTGCCCCAAACATAGTAGGCACTTAGTAAATTCTATTGTTTGGCTGGCCTTCGCTCCCCACCCAGAGTAGCTGAGGGTAGGGGAGGAGTTGGAGGGGCGGCAAGCTGCAGGATAGAAAACAAGGTGTACAAAGGTGGTGTGTAAGATTTGGCCACTAGAGGGCGCTCCTGGACTGTCATCACCAAGTTCAGGGGTTTAGGGAGGGACCTGGTTTGGAGATCATTTATTCATTCAACATGCAATTACTGAACAATTACTCTTTGCCAAGCACTCACTAAGTGCTATGGAGGTTACAGGGATTGAGATGTGACTCCTGCCCCACAAAACAAGGTCCATCTCATTAAAAAAGATAAGAAGCATAAGCAAAAAATTATGTATTCATTTTCACCAGTAATTTCTATGTATTAAGTGTGGGTTACTCTTCACAAGCTGTTATTTCAATCTATAATACTGGCTCCTCCCTCATAACCTCCTGCCTTGGGCCTTTTGTGCCTTTGCTTGAATGTCACCGTCCCAGGGAGCTTCGCCTCCCCACCCCTTTTTATTTTTTTTAAAGATTTATTTAGTTATGCATATAAGAACTGGGGTACAGACCGGGGGCGGGGGGGGGTGAGAGGATTCACCAGAGACAGAGTGGGGAACAGAACAGGCAGACTGACTAAAACCCACTGCTGAGAGGAGCAGCAGGAGAGACAGGAGAGGTCTGCTGTGCCATGTGGGTTGCTCCCTGGCCATCTGGGAATCGAACTCTTGCTGCAGTGGCTGCAGTTTGCTTCAAAGTGCTGCAACTCAGCCTCTTGCATTTTAAAGCTCAAGTCCTTGCAGCCTCTCAGTCATCTCCACCCTGCTCCTCTTTCTCCCTTGGTGCTTAAAACCACCCACATGACCGTGTGTCTCTCCATCCTCCTGGTCCCCACAGAACTCGGAGGATGAAGGGTTCTGTGAGGTTTCCTGAGAGACATGGCACATAGAACAGCAACACATAGTAGGAACTCAACATATTTTTTAATAAATAAGACAGATGGCAATCCTAATTAGCCCCAAGAAATTAAGTGGCTGAGTCGGTGATCAAGCACACCTGCGACAGGGCGCCTTTGAATGAGGAACATGTGAGCTGGTCTCAAAGGATGAGGAGCAGTCCCCAGGTTGGGGAAAGTGAGAAGGGGCCCAGGAATGAAGCCAGCATGCGCAAAGGCCCAGAGGCCAGCCGTGCAGGGTGCTGGATGTGACCCTGCAGGACAGACCAGATGCCTCTCATGGTCCAGCAGGCAACTCCATTATGCTCTGGCCCGTCCAGCCCCAGCCAGGGCCTGGGCTCCTGGGCAGTCTTCACACCAAGGACTTCTGCCCACCCTAGAGATCCCTCAGCCTGTGGCTCCTTGGAAACCCGCTTACTGCTCTTGGTGATAGCTTAACTGGCCTTTTTTGCTGTCTAGGGCTTCCTGACTTGGGGCAACCTCCACCACCAGTCTCAGTTACAATCTCCCTTCTGCTGCAAGCAAGAAACAAGCTGCACAGCTCAGAAAACAATCCATCATTTTGTCATAACATTTCCATTTCAAAGACTTCCTTTCCAAGCTTCTCTCTGGCCAAAGCTTCCTCTCATTAGCATGAGAAGAACTGGCAGGAAAATGAGTGAAGGGTAGAAAGCAGAAGAGGTAGAAATAAAGCTCTAGGTCCAGGTCTCCAAGGGAGGCGGGCAGGGGGCTCCTTTTTCTCAGCGCTCATGACATTCAGTCAGAAATTTCCCGGCTCCTTTCACAAGGCAGAAGCCTCCTCCAGCTCTTGCTCAGCCCCCACTTTGCTGAGATTCAGAGAAGACCAGGTGCTGTCTGTCAAGGACAGACCTGTAAGTGAACAACCAGGACAAGCTAAATCTTGTGCAAAGATCTCCCATGAGTGATAAGGAGCCTGGTGGGAGTCTGGCAGTGGGGGTGTCCCTGAAGAGGATACTGAAACCAGTCAGGTTCGATAGAGATAATGGAAGAGAGCGTGACAGACAAAGCTGCAGCATAAGAAAAGGCCCTGGGGCCAGTCCTGCAGGCTGCTGGGTATGGTCTTGGCAGCAATAGATGACAGCAAACACCTGGTGGGTGGGCTCCAGTGGCCACCAAGTCTTCCTGAGCTGCCCTCTCCCTGCCAGGTGGGAGACCTGGCAGTGACAACCTGGCCATGCAGGGCCCCCCAACTTCACAGCTCACTGGCTCCAGGTTCCCCTCTTCACAAGCAAATAAAGATGGGCTGACAGCCTCTTCCCAAAGCCCCTATACTCCTTGCAGACTCCACAGGAGCTGGACCAGGGTGGGCCCCTTGACAGAACCTTAAAGCCCGGGAGCAGCAGTCTCTGCTGTTCAGAGACTTCCCAACATGCACCAAGTCATGTCCCAGAGACAGTGGGGGGCCTGGAGTAGTGTGGGCTAGGCAATGGGAGGGAGAAGAAGCAGAATGGGCCTGGTGTGTGGGGGGGGCAGCTGATTGAGGATCCTACAGGAAAAGACCAGCAGCAAGCAGGGGCTCTCCAGGCCCTCCTGGCTGACGTGTTGTTTCAATCCACAGTATCTGACAAGGGCATTCCCGGGACATCAAAATGAGAGGCACGCCATGTCTGCCTCAGGAAGCCCTGGGCCCTCGAGGGAGGCTAAGAAATCAGTGTTAGAATAATAAGCACCACGCCAAGGAGTGCTCTGAGCATGCGGGAGGGCACCAGACCCAGCCTGCTCAGCGGCACCCTGAGGAGATTTGGAAGTGAGGCTTGAAGGACAATTTAAAGTCAGCCAACAGGTTTGGGTGTAGAGAACATTCCAGGCAGAATGCTCTCTGCAGTGAGGAGAAAGCCCAGGCACAGGATGTGAGGCGGCCCACGTCCCAGGGCCCCAGGAGTCACCCACCATGTCTACCCTCTCACGACAAGGGTGGCCACCAGGGCCAGGTGGCCGGGACGGGGGGCACTTCGTCCCCCCCTTTGTAGAAGTCATCATATTTAGATTCTCTATGTTATCTCCAACTGAGGTTTGGATGTTTAAAATATAATTTGCTAATTGTAAACCCTTGAAATATAACAGTTTTCATAAGCCTGCACGGCAATTTTTTTTAATCTACAAGAAAACTAAAAATAATGAAAGTGGCCCAGTTCTGTCTCGTTCTTGGCAAACAGGCGGGACTGGGCTCGGAGAAGAAAGGCAAGATGTAGAGAAGCCACCCAGGGCTGGAATGGACACCCAGGGCCCTCCCGGCGCTGCTGCTCCTCCCTGCCCAGCAGCCCGGAGCCTCCCTGGCCAGAGCTGGCCCCTCAGCCATAGGGCAGGCCCGGGAAAGCCCTGCAGCCGCCCCCAGCCAGGCCCCTCATCTTGGTTGTTGAGCACAGCTAAGAATCATGCCCCCGAGATGAACCTGTCAACAGACCCATCTTCCGTCTCCTGCTAGAAGAAGCCCTGACATGCACATGCACACGCACACACGCACGCACACACGCGCACACACTCCTCTTTGTAAAGACCTGTCTCCTCTGTGAAGGCTCTTTGCTGCTTCGTCCTCTGCTCAGCTGTTGGCAGGGTAAGCCCGCAAGCCAATAAGACAAGGGTAGGACTAGCTGGTGACACCCCCACCCCGTCCACGGCCTCCTGAGCGTTCACCTGCTACAGAAGAGTGACGCTGTGGCGGGGGTGGAGCCGGGCAAGAATGGCTGTGACCTGACCGAAGCCCTGGCCCCTGTTAGGAAAAGAAACGAGTGTGAAGGGAAAGGCCACAGGGCCCCGGGGGCTAATGTGGGGCTCCAGCCAGCGCTACCCAGAGACCTGCGGGGGGCTCTCAGCACTGTGGGCCCGCAGGTGGCCCACCTGGCCCCTAAGCATCCTCAGGGTAGCTTCATTGCATTTCCTGCATGGCCTCTCTCCACCCCAGGGGAGCAGGAGTCAGGGAGCAGAGGGGTCTGTCCTCTGGCATCTGGACCCAGAGCCTCTGAGAGCCGGGGAGGTGATGATGGCGTCCTCTAGGCATGGGGCCGCTCTCCTGGTGCGGGAGGGCCAAGCTGGCGCCTCTGAGAGTGAGGATGGGACTCAGGTGTGCTTCCTCCCCAGGATGGCAACCCCGGGCCCACTGTCTTCCTCCTCAGCCTACTCCACTATCTGCCTTCTCCAGCTGGCAGCCAGATCCTTCTCTGGATGGGCCTTTCCCGCCATCTGTCCAGTGTTCTCTGCCCAGCCCTACACCTCCCAGTGCTCACTCCTGAGGTACAAGTCACCCCGACTCTCTCCTTTCCCAGAGTCGGACAGTGGGCCACAGGACACATCTCTGTTTACCAAGCTTGCAATGGCCAGTTCCCTTGTGAAAGTCTCCACCTCGCCTGTGTCCCCAAACTTCCCCTCCCCGCGAGATCCTACAGCAGGTGGCAGGCATGCCCACCCCACAACGGTGCAGGGGGTTTCTGCCCCCCCAAAAAAGACTAAGGTCTGCAGAGATGTGGTGTTTATTGAGACCCATCTGCTTGAAAACCTGATTTAAGCCCTCGAGGCCCCTGGGCAGCGGCGCCTTCAGACAGCCTTGGCCAGCCCCACACGGTTGTTGGCCCTGTCGAAAACGCTGTAGTACTCTCGCATGAAGACGTCCCCCAGGATCCACTGCTGGGAAACACCATCCTCCTCGAAGCCGCTGCTGCAGAAGCCCTGGTCCTGGGGAAGACCAGATGGAGGTGAAGGGGCTCCTCCCTCTCCCCATTACTCTCATCGGTTATTCTGTGTCACCCCTGAAATCCCCTTCAAAGGTAAGCAAAGTATCACATTTATCTCACTCAATAGATGACGAAATTGAGATTGCAAAAATAAAATGATTTAATCCAAGATCACCCCATGGGTTCCCGTCACCCCACTCTCCCCCACTTGTCCTCACGGTGTTCCCCTCTCCTGCTCCAGCACCTACTACCCTGGGGTCAATTTTGAGTGCTCAAGTTTAGGCTAAAACTGAGGCCAGGAGATCAGTGGGGTCAAAGGCTGGGTCCCCACAAAGCCCTGAGAAATGCTAAGACCAAGCTCTAGGCCCTGGAGCGGATGACCCCCCCATCCCTACCCCGCCAGCTGTGGCCCTGCCCACCCCACCCCTCATCCCACCCCACCCCTCATCCCTCCCTCAGACTTCTGGGCACTGTCCTCCCATCTGCCTCCTCCCTTCCAGGGTGATACGGTAGTGGCCAAGGACAACACAGCCTCCCTCAGAAGGGCCAGCTGGTCTACCTGTGCGTCCTGTGTTCTCCCTCTATTCTGTGCCGCTTCTTATCACCAGTCACCCCAAAAAAGAGGAGGGGTGCTAGGTGAGCCCAGAGCTCCTCTCCTGAGACACGTACCTGACTGGTGTAGGCAGAGGGGGGCAAAGGGTACTTTCTGCCATTGATCTCAAAGACCACCGTGGGCATGATGCTCAGTCTCCTACAGTCGATGTCAAACTAAAGAACAGAGGGCGCACCTCTCAGATGGGACTGCAAGGCACAGAGAAGCTTCCGGGCAGGGTACCCTCCTCCAAACCTGAGTGGAGCACCAGACCCTAGAGAGGCTCCCCAGCCGGGGTGTGTCCCCAAGAATCACATTGAAGGGGACAGTGTGTCCACTAACGCAAGGACAGACAAAGAGGGATAAGCCTTGGTGTTTCCCACCAGACCCAGCCAGAGCCGCCAAGGATACCAGGAGCACTTAGGCAGCAGGGAGGAAGGGTTGCCCCACAGGGAAAGGAGGAGCAAGAGGGCAGGGCAAAGCTCAGCCAAGTCTGGGATGCATGACCTCCTGGGTGAGGCCTGGGAGCTCCAGTAGCAACTGTGGGCCAAAGCCAAAGGTCGCCGAAAAGGCCTCCCAAGAAATCCCACTTACGGTCACCATTTCCCTGTGTCATTTCTCCTGCATGCACTGGGGCCCCCTCTTTCAGGGGCCTCTGGGGAGGTGAGGGTACACGCCTGCCCTCACCTGGCCATACTGGCCCTGGGTGGCTCCAATGGCCAGCTGGATGTTGAGGATGTCACTGGTGGGCCCGGCCAGCAGGGAGGTGCCCGTGTCCAGGATGGCCTGACAGCCGCCGTTGCAGGCCACCACCACGCCATCGATGGTGACGCTAGAGCAGGGAGACAGGGTGGCCTGGCGTCAGACCTCGCGTCAAGCAGGAGGCTGAGGGCGCACTAACCACCTCAAGATCTGGCTTCACGTCTTCTCCCTGCTGTTTACTCGCTGCGTGTCTTGGGTGAGTAGCCAAGCTCCCTATACTGAGACTTCTCGTCTGTTCAAGGGCTGGTCGTGAGGTTCAAACTCAACTTCAGCGAATTATAAACTGAGGGTAATGACACCCACCTTGCAGGGCTTAGTGAGACGTAAACAAGACAGTCAGCCTCTCCCAGCATAGTGCTGGCAGCAGGGGCTTGATTAGCGCCACTGTTTATTAACAAAGCGCGGATGACTGCAGGCTTCTCGCTGAAAAGGCCTTTGGTCTGGCCGTGTCTGAGCCAGATGCTGATGTGCTGTCACGCTCTGGCTGCCACGCTGTGGCCCTGCCCAGGGAGAGCCTCATGGGCTGACATCCCCACACTCCAGTCGGCCTCAGACCCGCAGCTGCCGCTCACCCACCTGTCCACGGTGAACTGCCAGTACTCCTGCACCATCACGGGCACCCAGTGCAGGGTGCCGGTGTAGTAGGACGGGTCGACAGCCCCCAGCGTGAGCATGCTCCCCTGGCCGTTTCTGAAACCAAGGGAAAGTGTTCGCAGCCTCTAAACCCCCCATTCTGTGATAGGGTGTGGTAGCCCCACTGGAGAGCAGATGTGATGATGCCCTCCTCAGCCCCCACCTGCCCCCTGAGTTCAGATGAGCTCTCCTGCCTCCCCAATACCCCGGCCTTTTCTCCGAGCACCCAGTTTCGCCCTGAATGTGTGAGGGAGGCCAGAAGGAAGCTGCCACTGTCACCTGACTGCCAGGCTCTGCTCAAGCCACCCCTGGAGTCCCCACTGTCTCCCTGTGCCCTCACCTCCACTACCCAGGGCTTTCTGCTTTGGCCCTTGGGCTACAAATCGAAGAGGGGCGTTCAACAGGCTCCACACACTTTGGATTAAAACTGCCACCCCAGGGCCTCCCCGGTGGCGCAGCGGTTGAGCGCTGGGTTGGGAAGCTGCCGGCAGTCTCTGCAGCGCCGGTTCAATCCCCGGCTGCTCCCCGGCCTCGGGAGGAGGGTCCCACATGGCGCGCAGACCTCTCCTGCCGCCCGCTGCTCCCCTCAGCAGTGTACTTCAGTCCTTCTGCCTGCTCTGCTCCCCGCTCTGGCTCTGGTGAATTCTCTCTCCCTCCCGCGCTTCTAACTGTACCCAGTGCTTGTATGTATCAATCAATCAATCAATAAATAAATCTTTAAAAAAAATAAAAAATAAAAAAAATAAAACTGCCACCCCAGCCCAACCCCGCTTCCTCCTGGGCCCCCACCAGGAGGCACTGGCACACCAGTGTTATCTGCTGCTCTGCGCTCCAGACCTCCTCAGGCCGCCCGTGCCATCCAGGTTCTAGCTCCAGCTGTCCCCTCTGCCTAACCAAGCTGTCCTCGTCTCAGCTGGCGGGCCCCCACGTGTGCCTCGGCGGGCCACCCTCCACGCAGTGCCATTAAAGCAGGCTTCTGTGTAGTGCTAAGCCTGCAGCACACCTAGCTCTCCCCGCAGTGTGTGCCCTGACCACGACTGCCGAGTCCCAGCTGTGTATGTAAGCCAGTGCGGTTTCCCCTGCCAACGGGTTAGCTCCCAGTTTGTCTTGTTTGCCTGGGTAGCCCCAAATCCCGGCACAGCCCCTACACCTGAGAAGGGCCAGTGAGCATCTCTTGAATAAGTGAATGAATGAATGAATGCGCCAATTTACCCCTGGCCTGGCTCCCCTGACCTCACCCCCTTCTTCCCATCCTGTCCCCACCCATCTGTCCACGCTGAGCTGCTCAGCACAGGGGCGGACAGACAGGCAGGAGCACTGGACTAAGAGTCAGGAGCCCTGGGCTCCAGCCATGGCTTGGCCACCGGTTCCCAGAGTGATTGTCCCTTCCAAGCCTCAGTGTCCGCCACAGTGAAAGGAGAAATTTAAACCCCTTTACGCTCTGCTCTAAAAGTCTGTGAATCTCAGCAGCGTCAACAGTTGACTCCCGATCCCTGCCTCCCTGGAGAAAAAGCAGTGAAAGACTCCTATGCAGATGGATCAGGTTTCGTTTTTTACATGCCAGAAATGAAGACAAATTTGGCCAGGGGTCTCTGGCTGCACCAGTGACTGTTGGGGGGCTCAGGACAAGAGGTGGGCTGTGCCTGGAGACAAGGAGAGGGCTGCCTCAGCTGAGGCGGCTACCCTCGGCCTGCAGAGTGGCCCTGGGGCGGACACCTTCAGTCCTTGCCAGGCCGTGGACGGCCAGCCTTGGCCGGGTGTAGCCCCACCTGCTCATGTAGACCGAGAACAGGTCCTGGGCCACCAGACCCTGGCTCATCATGTTGTCGAACACGGGCACCGAGTACTCGGAGGCAAGAGACGGGTAGGCCAGGCCCAGAATCCCATCGAACTCGGAGTAGCTGAAGATGTCACCAGGTTCCTGGATGCTCAGGCCCACGGTCTGGTTGGGGTCCACGATGTTGGAGACCTGCAAGAGAGGCAGGCTGACCTCCACCTGGGTCCCTGCAGCCCCAGCAAAAAGTCCCAGGTCAGAAGCCAGATCGGTGCCAGCCTCTGCTGCCCACCCCTTCCTATAGGCAGTTCTTTAAACTGAAGGGAGAAACCTGCCCCTCCCCAGCCCAGGGCTGTGGTTTGGAAGGCCAGTTCCAATGAGGCAAAGGGGGAGGGGCGGCGAGCCAGGACACAGACCGCGGCCTCGATGTGCAGAAATTGGGAAGGGAGCCCCATGGGAGGGCTGGCCCGGGACGCCGAACCAACGACGGCCAAGGACAGACGAGAAAAGAATTGGAAAGAGGGAAACCTGGACCCAGAGAAGTCCCTCTGCCTGGGCTCTGAGGGATGACCTGGGAGGAGAGGACTGAAGGAGAGACGCCCACAGCTGCTGCTGCCTCAGCCTCACGGCCCTTTCAGAATCCAAACCACCAGGCCACCCGGGGCAGGACCCAAAGGGCGGTCAGTGCTGACCGGAGAGACTGTTGGGAGCAGCCGGCAAGGGGGGGGGAGGCCCGGATCCCACTCACGGAGACGGTGTCGTAGCCCAGGAAGCCCTGCATGCTGCCCCTGCCGTACTGGACGGACAGTGGCCTGCCCATGTTCTGGAAGGTGGAGGACTTGAACGGGTTGAACCGGCGGTGGCTTTCTGGAAGACAGACCCAGGGTTAGTGGGCCCTGCAGAATGTTCTCGCCACCTGGCAATGTCGGCCGGGGCTGAACCTTCCCCGGCCGTGGGAGAACAAGGTCTGCGCAATGGCCAGCCTCTCTTCTGACAGTAAGAACCTGCTCTCGAGGACCCGACTCTGTGACTCCCAGTGCGACCTGTGAGGCCAGGGGGAAGGTGGGGGAAGGGAAGGGAGGAGAGAAAGCGTGGGTCACCCCTGTGGTTTCCAAGGACAATCACTTGCACCAGCTGAGTCATTCCAGGCAAGCGCCTCTCTCCCTGAATCTGGTTTTCCAGTCCGAAGAGGAGATTTTAAAAAAAAAAGCATCCACCTCCCAGAATTGTAAGAGCAACAAGGATTTTCATATGTCAGCTGCTGATCACGAGGAGCAGATGCTTTCTCTTTATTCTCCGGCCCCTGGCGCGCTGCTGCTTCACTTTACAGACAGGAAAACTGAGGTGCCTCTTGCCCCTGCCCCTTTAGGAGGGTCCCTCACTCCCAGCTGGTCCTTCATGTGTCAGGCCGCGCGGCCCGCAGCAGTCTGGCCAGCTGGAAGGGCTGGGACGCAGCGGGGAGGCTGGGATGCCAAAGCAGGCTGCCGGTGCCCCCGCCGCTCCACGCTGGCCCCCTGACGGCTGCTGCAGAGCGGCCCGGGCTCTGAGCGGGGAGGGGCCCACTCACGGCAGGCATCGCTCTCGCAGTAGATGGAGGGCACCCAGAGGTCCGAGGAGCCCGTGTCAAACACCACGGTGAACTCCTGGGGCGGCGTCCCAATGTGGATCTTCCCGAAGTACTGACTCTGTGGACAGATGGACAGACAGCGCTGGTCGGGGTGGGGGAACAGCCTGGGGTGAGGGGCGGCGTGTGGCACGGAGCCTGCTCTGTCTGGGAGGCTCCTGCTTTCTGCCCAGGGTCTGGGCGGTGGAGGAGGCAGATGAGGGGAGGGTCTTCCTCTCCAGCCCCCAGGCTCTCCCCACCGCACCCCAGCTAGGCCCTGCCGTCCCTCCCACAAGCCCTGCAACCATGCTGGACGCGGCCCCAGACGCCGACATTAGACCCAAGCTCGAGTCCTGGGCTACCAGCGCTGGGGACCCCAGCCCTCCCCCAGCTGTCCTGCCACACATCCCCGCCAGTTCCCATGTGGTAGAACTAGGGCTGGGGCGGGGTGAGGGCGGCCTAGATAGGGAAACGAGAGCACAGAGGAGACAGAAAGGCCAGTTTACTGCCAAGAGCGACAGCTGAGAGCCAGGCTCCTGGGAGGTAGAGGGCACAAGGGCATTCCTGCCGCGTCCTGGCACCAGCGGCCCATCCCTGGCATGGGGGCCTGGGCCGGCAAAGGTAGGGGTCAGTTTGGATCTAGGAGCAGGTCACATCGCCTGTGGGATCTGGCAGGAAGGTCACGTAGGCTAGACCTTGCAGAGGTGACATTCGGAAGGGAACACAGGCAGGAGCACAGGCGGGAGCACAGGCGGAAACAAGCACTGCGGAGCCGCAGCGGGCAGACAAGCGGCCTAAAAGAGGGCAGGACGTGGGCATCACACTCTGCTTGGGCATCAGCACTGGAAGCCGGGCAGTGCCACTCACATCCAGGTAGTTGGTCAGGGGCTCGCTGGCCACCTCCCCATAGTTGGAGTACTTCCTGCTGAAGGTGACCTGGTGCGTCCTCAGGAAGTCCTCCAGGAGCCCACGCTCCTTCAGGCTCTTTCTCAGTGACTTCCCCTTGTGCAGAGGGAGCCTGGGGAGATGGGGGAGAACAAACAGGTGGCCCCCCCCCCCACCGACCCAGGGCTGCTCAGCCTCTGAGAAGGGTCCAGAGGCTCTGGGCACTATAAACCACCCCCTTGTTTTTTTTTAAAAAATCATAACCCGAAGTAAAAAACATTTTACATCAATTCGCAAGTCAATGCCCACCCTTACTAAATGCAGCACATGCTGGTATTTCTCATTCCTCTCCCTGTTTTTAACGCTGGTGGTGACTCAGTACATGCATTTCATGACTTGCTAATGACTTTCGCAACACTGAGGCTGGAGGGACACTTGGCACATTACCATTCGGTCTTCAAATCTTGCTGTGTGCCTACTATGTGCTGGACACCACCTAGGGCTGCGCCTCAGCCCTGCCTTTGACTAGCCGAGTGGCTTCATCCCTCTGCCTGTCAGTTCACTGTGTTGTGCATTGGGAATGGGGCTGGGTGATTCCCAGCGTCCCTTCCAGCTCTAGGAAGCGCGCAGTCTGCTCTGCGGGGCTGACTTCAGGATAACTGGAGACGGCACATGTGATAGGGATTTGAGAGTAATCAAATGACAGCAGTTCTAAGACCCCAAAAGCAAATGGGTGCACATCCATTGCATGCTGTGCACATCCCGAGGGGAGCCCATGTGGAACAGCCTCGTAGGTGACCTATGGCCCCCCAGTGCTGCCCACCCCAGGTCTCCCGCATGCCTTCAGCTGGGACCTGACTTATAAATAAAAGGCCCTTTGGACATTTCTCAGCCTTTGTCTCTGATGATAGTAAAGGATTTAAGGCCCTAGGGAATGAGGCTGACCAAGTGCCGGGACCACACCCACAGCTGCCCTCTTCTGCAGCCCAGGTCCGGGTCCCAGGTCCCAGCGCTGCCTGCTTGCTCCAGCTTAGGATCTCCTCGCTAAAAGCCCAGCGACTCTCACAGCGGTGACAGTGGCCCTGCTGAGCTGTCCTATTGCAGCTCAAGGCCCAGAGCGGCCCCCTCCCAGGGATGCCAGCAGGCAGCATCACGAGCAGTGCAATGCCCACATTGAGAACTGGGGGAGCAGCCCTACATGGGGACCCCAGCCACATGAAAACCTCCCCACTGGCCCCACCTCTGCCTCCAGTCTCTGCTGCGAGGCTGTCAGGTGCCTGGGATTTGGAGGCCTCGCTTTCAGGACCACAGACGCTCTGACTTGGTGAAGGGCGCCCAGACCCCTTTCCAGAGCTCCAACTTCCCAGGCACAGACTCAGGCTTGACAGACCTGGACCCGGGGCCCCTGGAGATATTGCAATGTTGTGGCAAGAGTGCAAGACCCCTTGGGACCGAGTTCTAGATCCTCGATTACTAACCACGTGGACACAGGCAGCCCAGGGAGCTTCCCCAAACAACCATTTCCTTGTCTGTAATGTGCAGATCATAATAGCTGCCTAATCCATGATCATATAGCTGAAGGCCTACTTAAATGTCTGGCACCTAGTAACCAGCAGCTCAAGAAATACCAATTTTTATTTTAGGAGAACCTGAGAATTTCACTCACAGATCTTGGTACAAGAGTTTTGCTGAGCAGATGCACACGTAGCTCTTACAATGTGCCAGGCACTATTCAAAGCACCTCACAAATATTAACTCACACACTGCTCACGACAACCCCATGGTTGGATGGATACATCTGCTCTCCCAATTGTGTGCTGAGGAACCACTGAGGAGCTGGGGATCAAATTGCAAACAGTTTCACCCCAGAAACCATACCCTTATTCTCCCAGGCCACCCATCTGATGCCCTTTCTTGTTCTCTGCACCCTGAATTATAGGGTACCCTTAGAGGAAAAGTCCCAATGTGCAGAGACAGGGTGGACAGGGGCAGTGATCCTGGGAAGCTGCCCAGCTCCTCTGAAGACCTCCCCACAAGTGCTTGGGGAAGCGAAGGCTGGGAGACCTGGGAGACATCCAGCTAGAGAGGACACAGGGGACGCTCTTCCTTCCCCTGGAGTTGGCTACCCACCTGATGATCTCAGCACCTTGGGAGAGAGCGAGGAACGCGAGAAGAACCCCCAGACACCTCATCCTGGACCTCGGCCGGTCACCGGGTAGCCAGTACCTGTTCCCACAGCCCTTATAGAGGGCGCGGGTTTCCCTCTGGCAGGAAGCCCGGCTGCAGAGATAACCCCTGACTGCGGGCCTCTCCACCAACACCTTAAGGTAACACCCAGACTATCTAGTGGCCATTCTGATAAGGACGCAAATGTCACTACTCCCGGGACTTCAAAGCTGAGAGCTCACGTGCCTGATCTTCAGGCCAGGAAATGTCACACAGGCCTCTCTGATCTGGTTTCCCTTTCAAACAGGGTTTCTTGAGCAAACACAGGTGGGGTCACCTCAAGAAACCTGTCTCATGGGGCTGGCCTCCGATACCAGACACCAGGCAGGACTGACATCTGTGTGGCAAGGGAGGCCTGGTGGTGGGATGGGGGGCAGGAAAGCATGGGCCCGGGACAGAGAGGACTGGCCTGGGCTCCGGTCAGGGGCATCGCTGAGACTCGGGGTTTCTTGTATTCGATTTGAAGGCCCTCGGGAGGCCCATCCACAGGGCAACTGAGAGCTTAATGGGGGGAGGTAGGAAGACAACCAGCTTTTCCCCCCTGCTGTGGCCATGCAAAGCCAAGACACTGCTCCTCCTGGCCCTGCAGCAGGAACCTACTTGGTGCTGGACTTACATGCTCGTGGCACACCCCCTCCCCCAGAACCAGCACAGCAGAGAGAAAAATCACCCCTAAATGATACAACTTGTTTCCTATTTTCCACCCAGAGGCCATCCCTGCTCCAGCCAGGGCCCACGTGTCCTGTCTGGTGGCCTCACTGCAGGGTGGCAAGTGTTCCTCATTGGCACAGAACATCATGCAAAATAGACTCTCAATAAACATTCTGTTAAGCAAATGAACGAACGGATGGTCCTCCCACTGTCCTTTATTATGTCCTGCAGATGAGGACGTGGAGGCTCAGAGGGTTAAAGGACATGCTGGTAATGAAGGCCTTCACGGCGGGAGCCTCCTGGTCTGTCACATGCACACTGCCACACAGGGGCCGGCACACAGTGGGGACTTCATCCTTGTACAGTGTCAGGTCTGGAGGCAGCTCCGCTTCTGGCTCACTCTCCCTAACCCCTCAACACCCCTTGGACACTCCTCCAGGTGTCCAGGTGTGCAGTGGGCCTTCTGCAGCACCTGGGCCAGCAGCGGCCGAGGGCAGCATTGCTCCACTCTGCTCCAGGTCACTGGTGACCCGCCTGACCCGGCGGCAAACACCCCCAGACAATGGGCCCCGGAAGTCAGCCTCAGCCACCTCTTCCCCCGAAAGCTGAGCCTCAGAGCCAAGAACCAGATCCCCGGCACTGGTTACCTGTGTTTATTCACAAGATTGGGATCGTCCTGACACCTCCAAGGGCAAGCTATCAGGAGCGCGGCCCAGATTGCAGGGTGCTGGGGCTGCTTATCAACAGGGGCCAGCCAAGAACTACAAAAAACCTTTAGAAAAGCCACGATAAGATTTCATCCCCTGCTACCTGGTGCCAGGTGAGAATGTCTCCCCCTTAGATTCCTTGGGGACAAAGGTGGCTGAAACCAAATCCAGGCTGGAGGAGCCCTCTCCTGGATACTCAAACTTACATTCTCCACTCTCACTGGGCAGTAGTGAAGTCAATTGAATTCAATTTCTTTTTTTTTTTAAGATTTATTTATTTACACATACAAGAACTGGGGTACAGGCCAGAGATGCAGGAGGTGAGAGGATTCACCAGAGACAGTGGAGAACAGAACAGGCAGATGGACTGAAATACACTGCTGAGGGGAGCAATGGGTGAGACAGGAGAGGTCTGCTGCGCCGTGTGGGTAGCTCCCTGGCAGGGGATTGAACTCATGCTGCAGTGGCTGCAGACAGTGTCACAGGTTGCATCCTAACCCCTTGCGCCACCAGGGAGGCCTGAATTCAATTTCTTGAGCATCTCCTAGGTGCTCACATGGGACCCAGATATGGAGGTGACGTCCCCTCGCCTTTTCAGAGCCCACGGCCAGGTGGCAGACTGTCTGGACCTTACCTGTGAGGATCACTGTGGGACAAAACCCAAAGGCACAGGCCCTCCTGCTGCCCCGGGCTGGCAGGCAGCGAGCACGATTTGGGTAAGTGCATCCCGGGCTTGAACCCTGGTCTGCCACACGCTGGGCTAATCTTGGTCAGTCTCTATGCTTCTCATGCCTCAGTTTCCTCTTCTGAGTAGAGAGTAGAGACAAGACGGTGGAGCTGAGAGGGGCTGGTCCTCATCTGTAAGCATCTCCCACTTATAGGATTTTTGTGCTGATTATGAGGCCATGTAAGGTGTGTGTTAAACAGCCGCACTCACAAACACGAGCTTTTATTTTTATTCTCCTGGCCTCTAATCATCCCCAAAAGCATATAGAGTAAGTAGAAGTATGCATATTTTACAAATAAAAACCAATGAAGCTTAAAGAGGCCAAGTCATGACCAGCTGCCTCATCAGAACACAGTGTACCTGGATTTCAATGCAGGGCCAGTTTGAGTGCAGAATCCATGAACTTTCCACTTGTGTTTATTCACAAGATTGGGATCATCCTGACACCTTCAAGGGCACGCTATCAGGAGTGCGGCCCAGCTCAGCTCGCCTTCCACACATGAGAAAAGAGTGAGCAAGAGGAGCAGGGGCAGACACCCCCAGGGGCCAGGCGGAAGTAGATGGTAGTCTGTCTAAGAAAAATAGCTGAAGGAGCAGCTACTAAATAGCCTCCATGCTTACTAAACTAAGGGCGAAGCATGAACATACCATGAACCTATATGATTCTGGAGCTTATGTCTCAAATTCTAATTATTAAAAGATATATCAAAAAATTGAAATATGAGATTAATTTTTAATTCCCTTCCAAAATTCTCACAACGCAGGCCAACACTGCAGAACAAATTATATGCAGGTCAGATGCAAACTCCAGCCACCTGTAGCAGCAGGTGAGGGGGAGACCCCGATGAATAGGGGGTTCAGGTATGTCAAAACCATCACCACCAACTGGTTACAAATGCTAGTGAGTGCCACCTCGGAACCTAACCCAGGGATGCCAGGGCTCTCCGCTTGCCAAGAATACGGGCAATGCAGATTTGGAGAAAACCAACCAACTTTTAAATAAGGGCAAAGTATTAATTTTTACATTATGTAGATGAGATAAAACAGACCCCACATGTCAGTCTCTAGGAAGAGTGAGCAGAGCCCAGACTAAAGAGAAACCTGCCAGGGATTCATCAGCCTGGACCAGCCCAGCACCAGCAGGAGGGACAGAGGACAGAGGGGGGTCTGCAGGACCCTTGGACATCAGAGGTCACTTTCTTCCATCTGACTTTTGCCTGAAGTTAGGCACACCCAGAGCTCTTTCAGTAACTCCACGCCAACAGGAGGACTGTACAGTATCTTACCCATTAATTAAAGAGGGTTTTTTCCTCTGAGTTGAATGTATGTTTAAAATATCAAATATTAATCACTAGCCACAATAATTTACAATAATGCTGTCTCCCTCTCAACTTCCAAGTCGACATCTGGCATGGCTGCTTTGAAACTGACACCCGCTCCGTCGCAGGGATTATAAATAGCCCGAGTTAAAATCTTCACCTTGAACTGAAGGGCTGCAGCATGCAATAAAGTCCTGGTGGGTCTATTTGAGATAGTGTTTAAAACATTAAAAAAAGAAGAAAGAGAAGATAGCCAGCATGGAGTAGGGGGGCAAGGTTGACGGAGGGGGCAAGCCTGGAAGGGCTTCGCCAGGAGGGGCTCCGGTTTGCTTCCTGCTGGTGGGGTGCAGGGCAGGGAAAGGGGTGTCAGCCTCAATCCCCCCTGGCCCACTTCATGGTCAGTCAGAGGTGGGACTGGACACAGCTGTTTCATTCAGCCCTAAGTTCCACACTTGTCCTTTGGGATGGATTTGTGCAGACAGGGGTCTTTATGGAAGGCGGCAGAACCCACTTTGTATTAACAGAAGGAAAATATGCCATCAGCCTGGAGAGCGCTTTCGGGACAGGCGCTCACCCTGTCAGACAAGCCACACTTCTTGCTGTGAGCTCATGGAGCGCCAGGCCCAGGGCCTGCACCATCTGGTTAAATCTTCCCCTGAGCCCCCGGAGGTAAGTTCCAGCAGGAATGTCATTTTCCCAAGGAGGAAATTGAGGTTAGAGAGGCTGCTTCCCCAAAGTCATCCGGCAGCAAATGGTGGGCAGAGTCAGGATTCAAACCCTTAGAGAAGTGAGTTTCTGGGGTCTCCTTGCTGACCCCTTTGTGGCGTTTCCCAAGCTGCCACATCCAGCTTCCCAGGACCTGCCTTGGGGATTTCAGATCCAGCGGCTCTGAATGAAGCACAGGACACCGCTACCGAACCAGTACCCCCGCTGATGCCCCGGCTGGAAGGTTGGGTTGTGCTCCTCACACACCCCCGCCCCCGTGAGTGGTGGAAACAGACTCTGGGAGCCATCTGACCCCTCAAAGAGCTGGGGTGAGAATCTGAGCCTTCGGTGCCGGTGCCATCCAGAAGGATGGGCCCACGAGACTGAAGGGCAGGAGAGCAGCCCGGGGAGGGGCGGAGGCAGGCGGAGGTGGTGGGGCCCGGGTCTGGGAAGGTGGACAGAGATGCTAGGGGCAGCCATGTGGTCCCTTTTCTGATTGTCTCCAGCTCCCCAAGAGCTCGGGGCATCTCTGGGGCAACAAGAAGCCCCTCCTGACCCACATGTTTTGAGGCTGTCCCCCAAGTTGGCCCTGGTCCAGGGCTCCTCGGAAAAAGAGGGTGCTGGCTGCCCAGGAGGGGTGCACAGTCACCCTTCCACAGGCAGAGCCACCCACAGCTCCCAAGGACAGGAGGTAGATGAGTTTCCTGAGAACAGAATGCTGAAAGAGCACCCCTTAGTCGTGTCACAGCTGCCTTTTGCGCTTGGGGTCCTGGGGGGCCATCTGGTGCCCCGGAGGACTCCCTTTGAGAACCAAATGCCCCCATGAGCTCCCATGAGACACTCAAGGAGTACTTCCT